TCTATCTATCTATCTATCTATCTATCTATCTATCTATCTATCTATCTTGGTATAACTATTATATTCTCCATATGTCCACAGTATACTTTCCAACTTATGTGTGTTTGTGTGGAAGGGTCAGTTTTGCAAATATCTACTGAATTGTTTCAGAAGAATGTTATTTCACTGTGTTTCCATTTGACATCATTGTAATAGCATGGAGGGCAGAGAGTTTTTCAACTAGATAAGAATATTTACATTTAAGAGTATTTACATTCATGTGTGTTCCCAGAAAAGGACATCAAAGCAGTGGCTGTGATGTTTATGTGGCTTCCTGACAAGAAATGTTCTTTCTAACAATTGAAAAAAGAACGCAACCATCTGTGACTTCACTGCTACTCAGGTCACATCAGTCTAAGCCTTAGACTCTAAGGGACAAATTGCTAATAATTGTCCCTTAATATGTTCCATATGCACGATGCAGCTTCAGGTTTTGATTATAATTTAATTAATTATAGAAGGCAGGAGAAATCGGGGGACTGGAAATTTTTCTTTTCTTCCAGTATGCAGAGCCCTTCTTACCCAAAAGTCAGATTCCTAATGATCTGATTTATGATAGCCATAATTTAATTTCTATTGGATTACTTCTTTGTGGTCTGGAATCTTGTAAGGAAAATTGTTCTCAGCTAGCAAGAAAAGAGAACCTTACGCTTCTATTCTTGTTATGTTGCAAACACCTATCCTTAAGATTTTTTTATCAGAAATAAAGGATTTTGTCTGATGTCACATGTATTTTCAGCATAGCATCTAATTTATCCTTTAGCCAAATTAGCCTTCAGTCTCTTCAAAGATAACAAAGAGTTAATCTGGTATTGTAATTCTAAAGCAGGGTATTTACCTGGACCATGTAATTTAACAGAAAGAAAAAATAAATGTGTCGACAGTAATTCATCTTCTTTAATTAAAGTAACTAAAAGTATTTTTTCTAATCTACAATATGCCACTCAAAGTAGCCCTCAGATTGAAACAAGTTATATACCCTGGTTGATGGTGTTTGTGTAAGGAAGCTGGAGCAGAAATGTAAATTCATGGACTTCAATGTCAAGCTTTCTTATTCATAGCTAACAAGCTTTAGTTACTGTGTTGAGAAAAAGATATATTTTTTTCAAAATGCAACAGTCTAAATCTAGACTTTCTTTCTAGAAAGAAAGAAATCTTTCTTTCTGTTATAATTATTTAAAGCCAGAAAAAAATTACAGTACATGTTACGTGATGCAGGTTTTGCTGTAGCAAAAGTCATCTGCAAATCAGGAACTCAGCAATGATCAAAAATACCCTTGTCCATCTTTTTATTATCTAGATACATTATAGACAGATTATAGCCTTATAATTTAGATATCACCAAGTCAAGGAAGGTTATTTTAAATACTTGCCTTGACTTACGACAACATGATCTACCACTCCACATTACTGGCTGCTACTTTGTAAAAGAAGGGAGTAGGCCAACATTTTCAGTGGCACCAGAAATAAATATTTGGGATGGGTGAAACATTTCCAGGTCATTGCTATTTTGCCCATTTTATCCAGACAACACAAAATGATTGTACTGTCATGTTTTTACATTAATTTGCAAATTGCTCTCCATAGATGTATTCTAAATGCATATTTTAATGTATTGAAATTGTTAAAGAGGGAATTTGGAAAGAGGAGGAAGTCTTTTCAGCAACTCGTTGTTGTGAAATCTGATAGATAGCTTAAGTGCAATCTGCCCATTGGTTTGTGAGGGCCAACACCAGGTTATTTTATTTAGGAAGTGACAAATACATTCATTGACGATCCTTAAAGGAACCAGAATATATAGTTATGCTCTAAAATCCAAACTAAAATAGGACACAAGATGTCTCCCATGCTTCACAGTGCAGAACTGTTATTACTTCATATTTTAAACTGTTTCCTTGGTTACCTTCTTCCTCCTTTGTCCGCTATTAGTGATTTTATCTGGAGTAACGCCAAGATCCGCAAGTACTTTAGCTATCCCTCTAGCATCTACTCCACAGTTGGGTGCTACGTTTGTTTCACAGCGTCTATGTACATTCATCTTGCAAACTGTAATTTAAACCAAACAGAGGGGGAGGGGGCAAGAAAAATCCAGGTTAAATACGATTAAGCTGTCCTGATAAATCACTATCTATTATTTATCTGTATTATTCACAAAATCCCTTTTACAGTCCCTGTAGTGAGAATCTGATTTAAGTGAAAATAGACTAAACAGATTGGTGACAGTTCAGATAAGTTTTATTCTATAAAGAACTGGCTTGCAGGATCGAACTGAAAAGTAACTCAGGGATGAACAATACCCTCCTCACTTTGGGGGCTCATAGAGATTACTCCAGATTACTGCTGAATTTGGGTAGGATCCCAGTCCAATTCATCAGTACAATTTTGGAGCCATTTGCAAACCCCCAAATAAAGAAAATAAGCTCAATAATTTACTTCCTTACAAAACAACTTTCTTAAATTCATCAAAAATGGCAATTATGGTTGCTTAGAAAACCAGAAAATTGTGGGGTGAGGGGTGAGGGGAAGAAACAGAAATTAAGCATGGATGCTGATAGAAAATGTTCTTTAATCTGCCCCTATTCTAACTGTAATCTTCTATACAACAGCAGTCATATAAATAGGGACTTATTCCTGTCTCTCCTTCAAATGTTTGCTACAAAGATTCAATAGCAGTCTTTCTGGAAAATAAAATCAACACATCCATTGTGGTACAAAAATAAGAAAGATCACGAAGACCCAAGTCACATTGTCAGTCATGAAATTCATAGGCTGACTCTGAACCGTTCATTACTCTTCAGTACAACTTAGCCCATAGGACTTTTTGAGGAGGGAAGTACTTGAACCTGCTTGAGTTCCTGAAGGAAATGTGCGAGACAAATGCAATGAACAAGGAAAGGAAAAGAGGAAAGCAAAAACAAGCAAGCTTCCTTGTAAGATTTTAGAGTAAATTATATATAACTAAAATAAATATGAGCATTTTGACATTTTGACAACTCAAGGAGCTCACAATGTTGTGTTAAACAGAAACAGTATTTTTGTTGCCATTTTAGTTCAGGTTTTTTTTTTTTTGAAATCCAATTCTGGTAACTTTGGTGCATATTCCTGATTCTCTACCTTCATTCCCAGAAGCCTTCACTTATCTATATAGTCACCCCTTTGTCTGGGCTTTCATTTTATCCTCTTTGGAGCACAGCATGATTTTATTTCATCTTACCATTTTGATCATCATATCTCCGTCACTCCTCCAAGATCTCATGGAAGTCCCTTTTTTCAAGTTCCTGTTATTTTATTTTCTCTCCATCTCTATACGACAGCTACTTCTGAACCCCAATTCACTTGTTCTCTTTACCTTCTAACCACAAAGCTTTTACTCCCTTGGTGGAAAATAACTTGACAGGTGGGCCGTACGTGTAACAAGCTTCAATCGATAGGGTTAACTGGCAGCAATTATTCTAGTTATAGCTAGTTATATCAGTTACCATGGTCATAGTAACACAAAAATTTTCCACATCATCCTGCCTGTTTGCAGAAGAAATTGCAATCAGCTCTTGATCCTTGTAAATGCAGACCCAAATTAAGACAAAAAAGGAATAATATATATGCTTCACATAAATATACTGAATTCAAATGTACAAGTAGAAGCAGCAAATAACTGGGGAGATATTGTTCAATATCCAACCTCTTTTTTGGAGGGGGGGGGCAGATTTATTGTCATCATAGCAGTGCTGGATTACACTTGTTCAAGTGCTTTCTTGTGGAGGAAATTAAAATAACATGCAGATTTTGCAGAAATGGAAGAAAAAGGTAAGGAAATTTGTGGGAGAAAATTCTTCTGTACCAAATTGATGAATCTGGTGGGAAAACATAATTTGAATATCTTTAGGTCCACCTTACAATCCTATCCTTTCCTGTTTGGTCCTCATTATGACTGGAGTGATGCCACCCAATGGAAGAATATTTATTACGAAGCTGAGATTTCTATTTGCCCTTTTACCCAAAGAAAATGGTCACTGTGCTCCCGAAACAGCATCCTTCTAGAATGCCCATTGAATTATTCAGAAAGCAAAATTCTCATGTGATTGGTCTGTTTTTTATCTAGGTCATTACTGAGAAAAAAAGACCGAAGCTTACTTTGAATATGTTCCAATATTGCATTTTCTTAAAACATGCAAGTTACTGAGGAAAAGTAGAAATATCTCCCACCCAGATTTGAAAAGGCCAGCATAAAAAATGACAGCCGTGGCTGGACCTCTTTATTTCCCCTGGTCTTTCTCTTTGAAATACTTTAGATACTTTCTGTTCTGCTTGAAGTCAGAAATAAATAAGTAAAGGCAATATAGGAAGTACTAAGCTTTTTTCCTCGCATGTGTTAGGGCAAATGTAGCAAAACATAAACTGCAAGATATATAATACCCATTATGAAAATCAGATGGCAAAATAGAGAATGCTGACATTGGAAAGTTGAAGTTTACAGCATTTCTCTACTCTCGCATAAATCTAATGCTGGCAGAGATGTTTGGTACAGGTTTTCAAAGGAAAGTTATTTATTGCTTTCACTTTCTAATTTTCAAAGGCAAGCAAAAATCCATACAAAAATGTGTATTTTAGAAGAATGCATATAATTCACATTTTCATGCCTGACAGTGTGGTGGGATGTATACATACATACTAATGCCATAATAAAACAAAACAGGTTCATGGATCTATAGAAATATTAAATTTGTGCAAAGATCTGTGGTAAGACTATGCTTGAATGTTGAATGTTGGCTCTCTTCTCTGCCCTCCCCAAAAACCCCATTAATATCAGCATTTAATAATCAGAGGGTTTTTTAAGCTTTGGAATGTAACCTTTGGTGCTCTTGCCTATGGATTTATATTCCAATGGAAAGACAACAAAAAATGAAAAGTATGAAATTTGGGATATTTAGGTTTAAGTACTATGTTTGCCATGCATTCGTTATTTCATTTCTATCTCTCTGTTTCTCCTGTGTTATTCCTAATAAAATTTGAGAGAGATCTTGCAGATAGAATGTTCAAAGTGAGAGTAGGAATTATGCTCATTTTACATCAGTTGTAACTATTGAAAAGAACAGACCAAGAGAGTAGATTAAAGGTGCACAGCAAATATATGGTTGTGTATTCAGACTCAAGAATTATGTTAGAGAATATAGTAACTCATCTGATGTACCCTTTGCTTTCACTATGCGATCCTAATTGTCCCACACTGCAATTCTTTCCTTCTATATTAATCACTATCAAATAATGCCATTAACTTAGGGAGGTTTATATTTTTGCATGTCACTTTCTGAATCTGGCCAGATTGTCTGCCTTATGCTTACAATTTATACTGCTCATACAGACAAAAATTCCCAATGAAAATTAAGTATTTTATTCTCACAGGCAATAAACGGGTAGGAAAACAATTGGGACTTAATCAACCACACAGATGGAGAGTTAAATCTGAAAAACATTTCAGTCTTGGAAAAACTTTCTCTGAACTCAAAGCCAGAACTATATATCAAATTATTCCATTAACTGGGTATTACATAATTTTCTGAGAACCCTGTTTTAGCTGTGACATGCAAATTAGCGCACTACTGTGCAATTACACAAGGTAACATAACTTATCTATAACTGGATCTACATAGCTTGACTTTAAAAACATGCTCAAGGCTACTGACTTGAGCAATGCAAGGACATTTAGCTCTTAAGTTTTAGGTTGCAGTTTACGTAATTTATTTGTAAGAGCTTAATTAGTTGAATTAGTTAATAGTGTTGTACCAACCAAAGGGGAATCATTTAAGACCTATTTTGTTTCAGTTTTATGTCCCACAGGTACTTTTTCAAAAGGCAACTGGACTTTGGGACAACCATGACCTGGGTCTCCAACCTTGGCAACTTTAAGACTTGTGGACTTCAACTCCCAGAATTCCCCAGCCAGCAAAACTGGCTGAGTAATTCTGGGAGTTGAAGTCCACAGCAGGGGTGGGATACGACAGGATTAACTACCGGTTGGGATTTACGAGCTTCCCTGCATGCTGTGAGCCATGCGCCTGTAAATCATCATCAGCATGCTGTGTGCAGAGACGCAGCCTTTGAAACAACCCTCTTTTCCTGCTTTTTTAACTGCAGCTGTGCCTCGTTTGACAGCTGAAGTTGAAAAATCAGGAAATAAAGATCAGGTAAGAGCCCGGATGGGCGGGTGGGCAAAAACATCAGCAGATATAGAACTGGTTCTATGTCTGCTGCTCTTCAGAGCTACTGGTTCTACAGAGGTGGACAGAACCGGTAGAAACCCACCCCTGTCCACAAGTCTCAAAGTTGCCAAGGTTGGAGACCCCTTACCTGGATGACTGAGAATTTACATAGATGTTTCAGTTTAAATGTACATGAAGATAGACATGAAGGGGACTAAAGCTATAACATTAATAACAAAATCCTGCATTTAAAGAGAAAAAGTATCTTACCTTTGCATTGTAAACCTTGTCTCAGAAGACCCCAAAGCAATGAACCACAGTGGTCACAGAAGGTGGGCACTTTGTAATTGTGAATGCTAAACTTGTGAGGCATGTTGACACTGAAACGCTGAGAACCCACCTGGAAGATAAAATGTGCAAAAGCACCAAAGTTAGCACGCTACTGTTTAATCCAATGTGTGGCTGGTTGGTAAATTCTGGCATATGAAGCCCACCCATCTTAGAGTTCCCAAGGTTAAAAAACATTGAATTAATCTCAACTATTAGAAAAATAAAGTTTCTACCCTCTCAGGTTGATTTTTATAAAGTTTCCTGTCACACTTAAAGATATACAGTATTATTACTGTATCAGTTCACAAATTCTTTAAAACTGGAATCCAAGAATGAAATCAGTACAGGAAATCACAGGGTCCTGCTGGCATAAAATGTCTCTTATTAAAAAAAAAAAAACTGAATATGTTGTCTTGTAAGGCAAGGAGGACATTGAAAATGAGGTTTAAGACAATGTCCCTTGGAAAATGAAAATGCAACAGAAGAGGGATCTGAACAGGTGAACTTTTTAGTAAGAAGTCCATAAGTGTACAGTATCTTATTATACTCTTGAGAGTTGAAATTAGCCTTCCCCAAATTAGTTGCCCTCAAGAAATTAAAACTTACTGTCAGCCTTGGAACCCATATTTTATTTAGAATTTTCAAGGCTGCCACATTTAGTGCCTGGGAATTTGGGAGGGGGGATTTCATAGAGAGGTGGCAGATTAGACTCAACAACAGTCTTCTCATAAGTCAAGGACAAGTTACCCTGCACCTGGAGAGGAGTGTCTGGAGGGATGTCTCCAGTTGGGATGATGGTTGATTGGACCATGTGATGAACTGATGAGTGCAGGGGATGGGCTTTTGATTTTCAATTGGGAAGGAAAAACCCAGAACTCTCAGATTCGGATTTTCCCAGATGTGCCAATATGATTTCTTTAATAAATTTCTTGCTTGGATGAGCTTTGTTTCTGAGTGCTGAATGGAATGGGGAGTTTCATTGGAATGCTGACACTTACATTATAACTTTCACAAAGCAAATTGCAGTCACCTTTATAGCCTGGAAAGATGGTTCAGAACCTATGTTATATTTCATTTTTTAAAGCAATAGTTATTGCTTCCATTGAAATGTTTCATTCTCCACATGTAGATATAATTAGAAGGATGCAAACAAATCAGAAATCGAACAAATTCCACCAATCCTGTAACATTTTATCTCTTTTTTTATAAATGGGAGAGATGGTAGCAATTTGAGAGAAAGAGGCTTTCCAAATGAAAATGCAGTCCCTTTGGTGGGCAAGGTGAACTCCCATTGCTAATCCCATTGACACAGAAGTGATTTTGATCTATCTCTGGGCAAGTGGTATTGTAGATATGGACAAGAAGCCATTGTGTTAAGGCAGTGGCTCCAATATATGACTGCAATATATGACTGTCCTGTGCTTGAAGGGACAGACTGTATGATCCCTGGGTGAGTCATATGGTTCACCAAATCTACCATCATATGGGATCCTTTATAGCAGGATGCTAACATAATTATGAAAACCAGTAGGATGGCATGCAGCATTAGGAATTAGGGAAACAAGGCAATGGACATTTGCCACATGGGATAGCACTAGCAATTTATTATCTTTTATTTTTGTGAAGAGGGCAGAAGAATGAGTGTTTAGACATGGACTTGAGGGACAAGGCAAGTGGCCTGCAAGAAAACACCAACTGGCTAGCAATCCATTGTGGTCAGGCATTGGTCAGAAAAGGCCATAGCTAAGTAATTTCGGATTTCTAAGAGTTCTAGACCCATCATGTTTGTGCTAACAGCGTCTTGATGTCTAGATCTGAAGAGAGTCAAAACAACCCAGATCAGTTGTGTATTTTAAATCAAGAGATGGAAAGACTAGTGATTTAGAAGAACCTTGCCTTAAACACATTAACTCTGCACAGTTTCCTTTTATTTAGGCATTCCTTCTGTAAATATTTACCTCATCATGGGCTTCCTGCTTCTTCAAGCCAGCGCACTTTGTTATTATAAGCTCATGGCATCGCTTGTGGACTACGCAAGTGCAAACTGTAAACAAGAGATTATTTTATCCATTATGAAAGAGAAAAATGAAATGAAATAAGAAATTCTGGGGGGATTCATCCCTATTCTCATTCTTCTCCAAGGGTCTTCTAAAAAGCCTACATTAGATTCTGGTCTGTGTGAAAAATGGGGCAGGACAAAAGGATAGGCTAGGTATCCTATTGGAATTGTGGCTTCCAAGTGGGCAAAGAAAACTCTTAGATTAGTAAGAGTAAAGGTAGTTCATATTCTTATGATTCTATCACATTTTAAATAGTGTCAAAATATCTGTTTGCACTTTCACAGAAGGGAAATGAAGTTTTGAGACTCCATAAACATTCTAAACCAATTAAATCATATTGAACAATCTGGAAAAGGCAACAGACTTTTCCAAACTACCATATAAGGAAATATTTCTAGAACATAACTGCCTCTTGTTCAAAATGAGCTGTTATAGTGTTATCGTCAACTGGTTTTGAGGGTGTTTTATTGCTTTAGAATTGTAAGCTACTTGGAACAGACTGAGTAGATGGTATACAAATAATACAAAGAAAATATAAAATAAATTCATATTTATTTTAAAAAAATTGAATTGCTTTGGACATGTTCAACCTTAATGCAGTGATACTTGGACTTGCATCCTTCTATTTCACTGCCTCTCTTGGCATGAGAACAAAACATCTGAAGTGTTTATTTCTGTTTAAGGTTACTCATAATTTGCTGTGTCATCCAAAGCCAAGCAAATTGTAGTTAACCTTAATTACACCTATCTGAAACAAATCAACTTCTAATAATTGATTTTGACTAATTGCAGTGATAATCAATCAGTGAGGTGAAGCTAGGTAGCAGCCAAAATTTTAGTTAATCTGTAAAAATAAAGACTGATTAGTTTATTTGAAGAAAAAAACTGGGTAAGTTATAGAAGCTTCTATAAATGAATCACCTGATTTTACCACTTGTTTTGCAGCAGTTGTTAAATAAACACCACAGTTGTCAAGTGAACAAATTGGTCATTAAGAGAATTAATGAGGTCCCAGAAACCGGCCCAAAGACCAGAAACTGACAAAATACATTATGAATCATGGTCATATGACTGCAGAGTTTTGCAACCAGCTGTAAAAAAGAGCTGGTTGCCATGTGCCCAAAATATAGTCATATGAATGGGGTCTGAACTTCAGAATTGGGTCATAAGTATTGTTTGGGAAAGTTGTCAGAACTTTGAATGGTCACTAAGCAACCCGTTGTTAAGTGAGGATTAGCATGGATTATCACTACGTCTACAACTATAGTTTGGAGCTTACTATGGTTAGCTTCTGAGTCTTAAACTTTTAAGGTTTCTAAACTCTTTTCTGTATAATATTTTTAGTATACTGTATCTTTCATTCATTGTCTTTGAATTGGCTACTACTTTGAATTGGCTAATATATCGTCATCCTTTAGCATACCAATTTGAAGTGGGAACCTTTTTCTGAATTTAAAGATCTTTTGGAAGACTATCCTTATGTCTATTCCCATCTTTGTCATGTTGTTGTACTACTGCTTCTTTGTCTTTTCTAACAGCACTCTGAAACTTGTTACAGTCCTTCCTGAGATTTTTGTCTTTCTTGGCTTTGGCTTCTCTTGTCTTCTTGATAATTTCCATGACTTGTGTTGATGTTTTCTTTCTTCTGTTTGTCCATCTTTGGCAGTCTCGTTATTATATTCCTCCTTAATGATTTCCTTAAGTTCATTCCAGGGTACTTCTGGTTCTCTATCAATAAGTTTTAGTACTTCAAAGTGATTTCCGATATTCTTCTTGAAAACAGTATTTATATACTGAAAATCATATTGAGCAACTAATTAGTTTTCTTCTTCTTCAGCTCATTTGGAGCTTGTTCCACAGTGAGCACCTAGTCATGTCTTTGATGCTATAACTGAAGCATCAATCATTGTTGACAATGATACAATCATTTTGATTTCTATGTATCTGATAATGTCTATCTAGAGGCATCATTTTGGTTGTTTGATGGCTATGTTTGCTTTCAAGAAATCTTGCCAGTGGTACTCTATGAAAGTGAAAGTTGGACTTTGAAGAAAATGGACAGAAAAAAATATTGACAGTTTTGAAATCTGGTGTTGGAGAATATCATAGCCAGTCATGAAGACAAAAGAAATGGATTGTTGAACAAATTAACCCAGGGCTCTCATCCAAGACACAAATGTCCAGGCTCAAATTATAGTATTTTGGAAATATTATGAATTAACAATTAATATTCATGATAAAAATCCGAGTCTTATGGAAATGAACAAGCTTTTTGTCTATGCAAGTAAATATTTCAAAATCTTAAAACCTAAAATAGATAACTAATCTTAATTCTAAAAGGTATATTAATATCAAATAATGTGTCCAAAAGCAGCTAAAAGCTCTAGGTATGCACTGATGATGTTACCTAGTTTGGGTAATTGAAACGTCTATAAGAAAATCACCAAGCTCAGGAAGCACCAAAGACCCCTCAGGCCTGGATATCTTAATAAATAAGTAACTAGAACCCAATGACAACTATTTTTGTGTTATCAGTTTATCCTGTCTGCACTAACACCTTCTACACCTTCTATATGTTTTCTACTCACATAGTAAATTGGGAAGGGGTGGGGGAAGTGTAATAGCCAACTGTATTCAACTCCAGGCTGTAAGCTTCTGAAAGACATCTGATGAGCCATTGTGGGAAGCTGTTAAATCAACACTACTGCACTATATTTTAACCAGGACTCAGTGTTTATGGGGGCCATCTGGGGATTTGTATTAATTGTATGTCTTTTTGTGTTTATTTTCTATTCTTATTCTATTGTATGCTGTCCAGATGAGGTCTGCATTACAAAAACCATGAAGGAAACAGACAAACAATCCTGCTGGATTAAGAGGAATGGATTCAGCAAGGTTTATCCTTTATCCAAAGTCCAGGGGGAAACACCAGAATATCTTTCATTATTTCTGTGGACAGTGGTGGGATTCAAATAATTTAACAACCGGTTCCCTGCCCTAATGGTTTCTTCCAACAACCAGTTCATCAAACTGCTCAGAAAGATAACAACCGGTTCTCCCGAAGTGATGTGAACTGGCTGAATCCCATCACTGTCTGTCGAGGGACATCTCAGGTGCTGCATATTCAGAACAACTTTTCCCCTTGCTGAAAAGGACTGAAAGATCAAGTTGGCTTTTTACACTTTTTTATTATTCATGTAATTAGTGGGAATTTATTTTAAAAATAAACCTGCAAGGAAGTCATTTCCTCCAAGCCTCTAATGTGATGGGATGTGGAATTGATCTTAACAAAATAACAGAGTTGGAGGGGACCATGGAGGTCTTCTAGTCCAGCCCCCTGCACAAACAGGAGGCCCTATGCTATTCCAGAGAAGTGGCTGTACCGTCTCTTCTTAAAAACTTCCAATGATGGAGCATCCACAACTTCTGAAAGCAAGCTATTCCATTGTTCTCGTTGTTAGGAAATTTCTCCTTAGTTTTAGTTTGCTTCTCTCCTTGTTTAATTTCCATCTATTGTTTCTTGTTTTGCCTTCTGGTCCTCTGGAAAATAGGTTGACCTCCTCTTCTTTGTGGCAGCCCCTCAAATATTGGAACACTGCTATCATGTCACCTCTAGTTCTTCTTTTTCACTAGACTAGACAAACCCAATTCCTGCAACCAGTCTTTATATGTTTTAGCCTTCAGCCCCCTTAATGTTGGGAGACTCAGGGAGGAGATGCTGGCTAGGGAATGATCAGATAAGAGAGAGCATACCCCACAATTGTTTAATGGGCAGAGAAAGAAACTGAGGAAGGAACTTCCCTAACTTTTGGTTGTAAAAGAGAGAGCAGGAGATTTGTAAGATTCTGTTAAGGTAGCCTTAAACAATAAAGTACAATTAGCTCCTCTGGTCAGGTTTCCTGTCTGGTCTACCTGACACCTAATAATCAGGGTTCCTTATAGATTCCACACATATTCATAAAATGTACAATTTTTCTTACCTTGACATTGGTACCCTTGCTTTCCTATTACTCCCCTGTTGTTGTTGTTTAAAAAAAAAGAATAGTAAAGCACATATTAGGGATAGACCAAAGATGTAATTTCACACTGTCATTTATCATATAGTGAATGGCTAAAAATGACTATACAGTATGGAAGACCACGCTGGATACATTCCTATTTCTGCACGAACATTCTCCTTCTAAATCCACAGATGCAAATAAATAATGTGATAAAACTCACTTTGTCTTCTTCCCATCTTAAATTGTATGAAACACCACCAAGCAATTTTCTTTTCATTTTCTCTGCTAACCCATATGTTTCCTAGTATTGACAGGGCTTTGCCAATCTTACCCCTAACATCTTCATTAGCTGTGAATGTTTGGCAAGGGCTACCTTCTTTGTTTCATCACTGTAGAAACCAGAAAAGCTATCACTGAACTCTCTTCATCACATACTTATTAGAAGTACAGATGTAACACAAAGAGGCCCTATCGTCCAAATTAAACTCACATTAATCTAAACATGACCTTCTGCTGTGCTTCAATTACAGTTCTAACAACAAATTAGATCCCACTGATGTTCACTTCTATGTAAAGATATATGGATCAAGTTCAGACAAAGCGTTTCTACTTTACGCTGAGGGACAGTTGCTTAGCAATAGAATCAGATGGGAGGAGATAATGAGATAATCTGAAGGAGTTCCCTGAGCTACAGTTTGTGTAACCATGCCATGTGGGAATGCCATAGTAGTGGCTATGAAGTTTACTGTGGCTGAATATTCTCAATATATTCAATTCTTTTTCACTATTTGGAAATGAGAAAATCCAAATCAAGGAAAATCTATACTAATTGCCTTATAATGCAAACCTGTACCAGCAAGTCCCACTATATTCAGTGAGTCTTACTGCAGCAATGTGTTCGCCTGATTACAATCTTAAAACTTTTTTTTTTACTAGAATACAAAGAATTTGATATCCACTATATATGCTTGCATAATGTATGATTAGGTAAAAAGGTACATAACCACAGTTACAGAAAGCCTTTGCATTTTCCCAACGTATAAAATAATGGCATCGTTATTTCATTCATTATTATTTTCCTGAAAGGATTAATGTAAAGGGTTTCCAATAGCCAAAACAACAATAATAGTGTTACCGTGAAAAAACCTAAGCCATATGATATGAGAAAAGTCTCCATGTAATAAAATTTACCATATAAAGTCTCGACAGTGTGAACAATAGGTTGGTTGTCTAAGATAGGTGGCCATAAACTTGTGCCCATTAACCTGATGGACCCTGCGTCGCACTGCCCCCTGGCGCTTCCTGGGGCGCATCCGTTCCCTAAACACTCTTTCTTCATTGTCTTTGGGTGCTGAAGGGAATAAAAAGAGAGAGAGAGAGAGAAAATGGAAGAGATTAACAAATATTAATATTCCAGGCACAAAACCGAAGATCAGAAAAAAAATGCAGAATGGACAACTTCAAATCAATTCTCTTATATCTCTATATGTATTCCACCACACCTCTGTACTCTTTTCTGATTTAAGCATTGTGAATCCCTTTGTTTTAAATATGTATGACTGTATGAATAGGGTTAAATGTATGGGGAAACTTCATTAACCTAGTGCCTTTAAATGTGTTGGACTCCAAGTCATTCCCAATGGGCATACTGATTGGAGATCAATGCATTCAGATACCACCAAGTTGGAAAAAGCTGGTGAAATATATGAAGTCATAAAGGATTCAGAGATGGATATATAATTTTGAATTATTTAGGGACTAATAAACTGATAGTTGGGAGGGAAAATGTCTGAGATATTAAATTAGATCTATTATGTCCCACCTTTCTTCCTGGAGTTTAAGATGATTTACATGGAGATCTTTTAACCTTACAATAATAACCCTATGAGTATAGTGGGCTGAGAGACAGAGAGAAGCCCAAAGTCAAGGTTCCCTTCCTAAGGATGGATTTAATCCAGGCTCTCCCAGTGTGTTGGTCTTATCCAACACACTGATTGCTACACTACAATAGCATATTTTCAAAAGCTAGGGGCTCAGTGAATTTCCACCAAGACACTCTCCACAATTTCTTGGAGAGCTCTTGATAACAGATCTTGCTGGAGTGAGCCCTTTTTGAGGATGTGTGCCGATGAAAGCGGCCTGCAATTATGGAAGAGCTGACAAGGCTGAATCATAACATTGTCACCTACACTGGTTTCCAAGATCCAGCACACAATCCTTTCATGACCATTAATTCTCAGAAGTCTATATATGGATTGATTGTTACAAAATAAATCACATTATATCTCTTCCCTTAATGAAATTGCAGGATAATAAAGCAAATTAAAACAGCATGAATGTGAAGCGTCAGCACCCTACCTGCGTTAGACATATTGAAAATTAATTATTGAGGTGAGGTAACAGCTAATTCTACCAACATACCTCCTTTCAAAAGTATAATAATCAGCATTTTTCTACATTCTTCTATTTGCTTTAGGCAATCGGACATAAGAGCCAACCAATTGTTGTTGTTGAGAAAATCCCTTTTGTGCATCAAAATACTGGGATTTCATATTCTGCATTTTTTGTTTCTTTTAATGGAAATGCAGCACTTTTTCTCCTTATCTGTTGCATTAATCACAGTTGCTGCAGAAGCCATGATGTGCAGATATCTCTCTTTCTCTTTCATACACATATGCACATTTTGGCTACCAGCTGTGTTTCCAGCATCAAAGCAAAGCCACACTGGTGCTTTGCTGCTGCTTCCTGCTGTGTCACATTTATCTGAATAAGTGTCTCACAACAGCTTCAACCCCAGCTTTTGGGGAGGGAGGGGGAAATGATAGGAAGGACTTGCATCATCCAGCCCAGTTGAAGAGGGACATCTATGGGAATATACCCAAAGGATTCAACCTGCAGAGAGCTGCCTTGTGACCTAATGAAATATATAGGAAGAAGGGGGATCAGGAAATTTTTCTGGACATGATGCTTTGGATGTCCAACATTTAGCTAATCCTGAGCTACTAGTGTTCTACAGAACTCTTAATGCTCTTAGGAAAACTGTGAGCTAGCACAATGTGAAGGGTAACACACCTAAATGATTTTCCCAATTACAGATATCTGCCTCTGAGATCCTGTTTTAGGCTAAATGTGTGGCCTGTAACACCCTTTGGTGTCAATCAGTTTTTACTGAGGCAGCCCAAGTATCCCAGAGCACTATAGCAAGACTTCTGGTTAAAAAAAAATCCTCTAGAATTTGTATTTTGGTTAATTTTATTCAGATACACAATGGCTGCAGATTAGAAACAAAATGCAAATTTTGCATGAATTTGATCCATGGACTCTCCAGCCAAAAGAACTGGTTGCAGCTGAATTTCAGAAGCATACCTGAAATAAATTAGCTTTTCTATGGATTATGGTGGCTTGCAATTTATAACCTAACAGATCTGGAAGTTACTTGATAAATAATCTGATTCAGCTCAAAATTTGACTCAACTGAATAGTGAGATGTTAGAGGTAACAACTCACAGATGATTGAAGTTCCTCTTCTTTGAGTGGGACTCCAATGTACAGAATCTGATCTGCTATCTTCTGAAGTTGCTTCCCCTGATGTTGTAAGACAAGATAAGCAACAGTTCAATGTGCAAGACAGTTTGCAAAGGAAAATAAAGGACAGTCTTGGTATTTATTTTTTTCTGCTGTGTCTCTTTAAATTACTACTGAATATTACTACTGCTATTCCCTTAAAATTTAAGGCAGCCTTCTCCAATGGTTGAAACATTTAATACCCACCCCCTTTTTTATTAACTAGTTAGAAAGAGCCATAGTCACCCAAATTGTTATCTAATGAGAAACAAATGAGTCCTCATTCTCCTCTCACATACAGGAGGAAAAGACAGGACTTGCCAATCCAAAGATGCAGCAGTCCAACTATAATGTTCCAAATGAAGGTTCAAATGATCACTTAATCTACATTGAGAAGTGTATGCAATACCTCTTATAAAATTACCCTGTGCATATTCAATTGGAGTACAAGTGGTAGAAAGTTAGTAGGAAGAGCAACTAAATGAATTGCTAAGAACAACTTTTGTATTCTTCATCACCAACTAGAACAGGGGTCTCCAACCTTGACAACTTTAAGACTTGTGGACTTCAACTCCCAGAATTCTGGCTGAGGAAATCTGGGAGTTGAAGTCCACAAGTCTTAAAGTTGCCAAGGTTGGAGACCCCTGAACTAGAACATGTGGAGTCTCTTCCCACTATATCAAAGAGTTTTCCTAACTCTATTATGCCCCATGAGACTAGAAATAGGCAACTTGGTGACCTCCACACATTTTAGAATTCAGCTTCCATTAGCTCTAGCCAGCATGGCCAAATACAAAGTACCATATAAGTTGTAATTTAAAATATCAAGAAAAAAACCTAGTCACATCCTTGTTTTTTTTTTAAGTAAAAATCATTGATAAGCAGCTGGACCTATTCTACTTTCAGCATGTGAAAAGGCTTTTACAGCAGCCCATGCTGGAGAATGGCATGGCTCATAGTGGATATAGATTATACAAATGCAGAGAAGCTCCAAACAGGATAGTCAATAACAGGATATAATTCAATGATCCAACTCAGCAGAAGAAAATTATAGTGCCCATATCTCCCTAAAATACGTTCTCTGTCTTATTTTCTCAAAACATGGTAGGTTGCTCTATATAAGTGCCAGGTTGGAATATGTATGCTACACTTTACTTAAAACTAAAGAAAACTAAAGAAATATATAGCACTGTATTTCCAATCTGTTTTATGGGGCTCTAAAATAGTTACATGTGCCATAGCAAAATCAATGATGTAATGAAAAATCATTACTTAATTTAATTTTTGGTACACACTCAACGGAATTTAGGAAGGAATTTAGTAACAAGGTCTGATCCAGCTAAGGAGTGCCAAAATACATTAGCTCAAATCCAGATAAAGCAGCTGAGCTGAAATGAAGTAATTTAGAATTAGAAGTCAATTATCATTGGGCAAAGGACTAAAAAAGGAGCATTAATTGCACAATATAGATCAAACATGCCTATAACTGATCCAAAGATGAGCTAGTCTATGCCTCACCCCATGTTAAAATACAGCATAGCAGCAGGCCTTGTTTTAGGTTGCAAAGCAGATATAGGATTATTTTGGAAAAGTTATGCAAGCTGCACTCATTCTGATCTTGTTAGTACTGTAATTTCTAACTTCCTGGGCTTCATATAATCTCGTTTTTTAATTATTATTTTTTACCAATTGACCAGGGGAAGAACTTAAAATATCTATACTATAACTGATACATTGAGAGATGTAATTTAAAAAATGTTTTAGTAATCAGATAGATCCTGCCCTTATGTTGACTGAAGCTGTAATTCCTATACATCTCAAAAGGCATGTCAAGGACGGTTGTTTATGTTAGCTGACTTTCAGGATTTTGGACTTGCGATCCAGTGATTCTCCAAGGATACTTATAAAAAATATCTTTCGGAGCAAGATAAAAGGGGCCCATTTTATTGGAACATATGGTTATAAAAAATCAAGCTTCTCTATTTAAATAGAAACTAACTCTCACTCACGCAAGAAGTAGGTAACCTTTTGAGTTGGGGCAGTGGACAATATTTAGAACTCACAAAATGGCTGCCCCTTGAGGCCTACAATATTCTCTAAATCGCTGCCATTGTCAAGATATTCAGTCACAAAATGTCCATTTACTAGACAGTAAGCATTTCCACTGATGTTTTCTAAATCTTCTGATGGAATTTTTGTTGGACTCAAACATATTCTTACACACAATTAAATATGATGTTAGAAGCCAGTGTTCTGTTTTGCAGCATGGAAGCTTATATAATCTCTTGTTTGTTATTAGTATTTTTTATTTTTAAAAAAACAGGTAGGATAGAAAGTCTGAGCTATCTGGAGTACAATTGAGTGTCCATGGGTGCCATGTTGCTTATCTGTAGATTTACTGGGTTAACATGATGTCCAAGCAAAGCCCACCCACCTGAGTGGTATTGTATATTTTGTATCTATATCCTTTGAAGATTCCAACTCATTTTCATTTAACTTACTTATTTCCCAGGATTTCTCTTCTGCCCAAATTATAAGACTGAAATACAGTAAATTCTGACATTTCCCTTTTCCCAGCTGCTACAGAAGGGCTGAGAGAAAGGGAAAGGATGAAAAGCCATCTGGGCTACAGAAACTTAGATTGCTGCTGCTGTTACTGACTTAAAATGTTGTGTTTTTTTAAAAAAAACCAACTTGTTTATATAGCTTGTGCACATAGCTTAATTAATTACTTCCTAATTTTATCAAATCATAATTTGTCTACAAATTAGACTAGGATCACCCCTC